CCGCCGCCGCCGCCGCCGCTTCCACGGAGGGTGGGTGAGAAGTTGCAACGCGGTCGGACGGCGCTGGATTACCAGTTTCCAGCGCCAGCTGTGTAGCTTCGCTAAGAATGTAAAGAAATATCAGAAGATAATGCAGCATTGCTATTTTTTACCCTATAATTAAAGTTCTGACGGCGTTTCTATTATAGAACCTTATTCGCAAGGGTTCGTAACTCAGAGGCAAAATTTTCCTTCACGACGAAGCCTCGCTGAGCAGACCGAATCATTTAAAAAGTATTTCAGTTAAATAAGGTTAGCCCATTAGAGGGTAAAATTCTCAAGGACTTTCATGAAGGTGCTCATTTGTAGCCGCAAATAAAGAATTGCAAAGTCCCCCAAATCACGGATATATAAGAAGGAAAGTATTTTTTTTTTTTTTGCAAAATCAAGGATTCATGGAAAGGTTTTAATATAATTCTAGGAAATTATTCCCATGAAAACAATTTGTTTGAAAGAAAATGCCCTCCAGTCCTTTCCACACAAACTAGTCTTGGGCTAGTACATGAGAACGAAACTTAAAAGTGACTATGAGCAGAAATGAGACTGACTAATTCATTTCAACTGTCCTTACTGGAATAAAAAACAAAGAGTAAACAGCTCGAACGGGGAAAGGTGAATTTAATTTTCAAGGCCCTTTAACTTTTAATAATCTGAGGAACAATATGGGAGGTACATTCTACCCTCCCAGTTATCCTGACATAAATTCATTCAAGATTTATATTGGTGTAATAGAGAAGCAGAATTCGCTCCATGATTTCTAATGAACTGCTGGCTCAGTCTTTAAAAATGCAATTAGAAAAACCTAGCCTCCTAATTCAGAACAGCTTTGAGCTAAGTCAGAGGTCTCGATGCTGCAAACACGGATGGAAGCCAGTCTGTACCACGGCTCCTCGCGGTGCCTGCAGCACGACCAGAGCGGGGCTAGGAATGCTGGAAATGGTTTGCTACAAAATTCCCTAGTTATTTTAGGCTTTTCTTTTCTATTATACGGGAAAAGGCAGTTCTCATGTGGAATAAACCTGTGTTTCCTGTGATCTCAAATACTAAGACAAAAGGATTGTAGGATGAGGTGCCTGGCCTGTTACTGGTGCAGGAGGCAAGGAGCTGTCTGGTCGGAGCGCTGCCCGGTGAGACTGGCAGGAGTCGGGAAAACCCATTCGGCTTTAACTCTGCACCGAAACTTGTGTCAAAGCGCTTGCAGTTGCCGTGTCAATGCAGGTGAAACATCAATAAATATTAAAGTAAGTCAAGGGCTAATTCTGTCATTCTACTCATAAGATTAGGTGTCTGCATTCACCGCTTACTCATGTGTGTAGGAACAACGGGACCCAGATCCCAATTTGTCTCTCTGACCTTTTGAAGCGAAGGCTTTAAATGAAGCAGCGCGGAGCGGCTGTCTCGTTTGATCTTCAGAAACTGCGAGGCAAAACTCCTCAGGTTGTTTCGGTCTACAGCGGGCTGGTGGGGGGAAGACTGCCTCGGGGGAAATGCCGCCTCCGACTACCTGGAAGTCCTACCTCACCCTCTTGACTGAGGACCTCGAAACAGGCCAGGGTGGCCCCCGAGATGAGGCCAACCTGAAGGTCCTAGGAGACGCGGTAAGGACATTTTCATCCTTGCTCTAAAGCAGCTGTGTAACTTCGCTAAGAATGTAAAGAAATATCAGAAGATAATGCAGCATTGCTATTTATGACCCTGCAATTAAAGTTCTCACAGTGTTTCTATTATAAAATGTTGTTTGCCAAGGGTTCGTAACTCGGAGGGAAACCTTTCCAGTAAGATGAAGCCTCGCTTAATAGACTGAGCTGGGCATGGTTAAAGTATCAGTGATCAATAAGTAAACCAAAACAGAGCATCACCTCGCCAAAGGAGCTGGGTGGGACCTCCTTCGGTCGCGGGCCTGATCAGGGTGTGCACTGAGGACAGCAGGAGTCTTCAACTCGAAACCACAGAGCTTTGGTGTATCGAGGCTGTTCACTACAAGCCCTAAGAGCAACGTTACAGCATCTCCTTTTTCCCTTGTATTGGTTTGCAGAATGACTCACTGTGAAACTTGAACCGATTCGCTTTAATTGTACCATGCCTCAGTTTCCCCATCAGTAAAGGCAAAAAAAAATTTGCTCGTCAGTGCAAGGTGTGATAACATCAGTGAACATTTACGATACACTCCGATAAGAAGTGCAAGGTAGTCCTGTTACTTGGCTCTACCAAGTACGACTACCGCACCTACGCACGCTGTCTTGAGAAGACCACTTCTACTCAACCACATGAAATGCTTAGACCCAAGCTGGGCTTTGGTTGAGCAGAAATGAGGAGGGACCAGCACAAAAGACGGATGGTTACTGCACAATTACAACTCTGCAGTGCTAGGAAAATATCTGAACACTTACCATTGGACCTTCCTTGGGTTTTTTGATGGCTTCATGGAGTAATTTTAAAGAGAGGTACCGCACGCTCTCTCTCACACTGAAAAAGGACAGTTCAGCATCTTGACGGCGTCAGAAGGCACGAGGGCACGTGTGCGGAGGGGGACCAGCCCGCGCCTGTCACCTACTGGGGACGGTGCTCGGGCAAAGGAAAGATGCCGATGTCTGCTGCCGGGTGACAGCCTGCCGGGACGGGGAGAGGAGCTACCCTGCCCGATAGGAGGGAAGCTGAAACCATAGCTGTCCGCAAAGAGAGGTCTTACCAGGCTTCACACTGTAACGCCTTACCGAGAGTCCTCTTCTTGCTTCTTCCCAGAGCGGAGTTGAAAATCTTGGAATTGTCATAACGTTTTATTATCACTTGCAAAACAGATTCTACTTCATCAGATAAAGACACAATTGCATTCATTGACTCTGACACAAGGATATGCATAGTGATAAACATACAGATAGATGTACACACTTACACATGAATGAGATATGCTAATTAAAAATTGCAGTGGGCACTTTATTAAAAATTTATTGTACAATCTACATCTTCAAAACATTTTACATCAACAAATATAGCAGCTTGACTGCTGGAATCATAAGTGATTTATCTTTAAAAGACGGTATTTGTAACTGGATGCAAAGATTCTTGATGAACTGCTGTTACATTTAAACTACTGGTTTTTATTGGAAGTATTTTGACCGTTATCTGTTTGTTCTCCATCCTTGAGAGAAATAAAACAAGTGTCTCAGCTTTCATTTTATCGGATAGATGGCACCACGTAGCATATTTCCCATGCTAGTTTGAATTACAGCTGTTCATCTTTCAGCTTTCTTTAAGATTAATTAAATGCAAATGTAACTCCGCGAATCATGGGATTACCTGCCAGACCCCTTATTAATACCTTCACTTAAAAACCCCTGTGCCAGAGAGTCATTAATTTGCAAAAAAAAAAAAAAAAAAAAGAAAAGTGCTAAAGCAGCCCTTTGCCTCCAAACAACCCAGAGATGGCTGCCCAATTAGTCCGGCAGCGTTCGGATCCTCCTTTCAGGCCCTGTGGCCCTTTGAGGACACAATAAGGCTCCAATGATAACCTGGCAACCTAGGTAGAAACTCAGCCAAGTGTGAGCGTTTGAAGCTGCAGCTTGGCTGCCATCGTGTCGGCGAAAAGAAAGAATTCAGGCACCATGTCATCCAGTACAAAGGATAAAAACAGATTCAACCGGAAATTCAATGTGGCACCACATATGGGATACATGAGTGCGGTTATACAACAGGCCACATATTTTTTTTGAACAGTCTCCTGCATGTGATGCCGAGGACATGTGTAACCATCATAACGTCTCTAAGAATCTGTATTTAATTTGAGCTGGGGTGGTGGCAGGGATTGGAGATCTGAAGCCGCCACAGGTTTGTGGCAGATGGCTCTGTGTCAGCTATGACAAGCAGCCAGGCTCGGCTTCCTCTGCAGATTTTCTTTTCTCTCTGATCAGGTAAATATGGGCACACTCTGGAAACTTCCACAATTCTGCCTGAGGCTGCAAGTTTGTGACTTAGCCCCATCTGTCACAAATCTTCCCTCGGTTCTGCTGCGAGCAGAGACCTGAATTTACCGCCGAGCGCTGCCCAAGAAAACCCAGCCGTCTCGCCCTACGAGGAAGCAGAAGAGAAAAGCGCACGGAGTCGCGTTAGATGACGGGACACGAAAGGGACGTCTCTCGCAGGGGAAGGAGCGCGGCTCTGTGCCGAAACGCTCTGCAACGCCCGGGATTTCAGGAGCGGTGGAAGGGAGTTGGTCGGAGAACGCTTACGCGGCATTATTTGGAAACGGGGTGAATTCAGCGGGTTTTTTTTAAGACGGGTAAGCTGGTCGGCAGAGCCAGGTTATTTGCTCCTGGCTGAGCACCATCAAATGTCCATCTGCTCTACTGGCAGTCTCGGCGGACACACCAAGGGCTGAACCCCCGCGGGGACTGACCTGCCCCTCTCACCCTCAGACATGGCAGAACCAAGAACTGGCAGGAGTGAGGGAGTAATTCCCCTGCTTGACCATCATCGGTCTGGCTTCTGGGCCTTGTTTTAGCGTAACCTTGGAGAGAATAAACTCAACTCCCTTTATTTTTTGGTGGGTGATGAACCTGCAAAGGTCTGGGCATTATTTTTTTCAAGGAATCGTGATTCAGTCAACAGTTCCTAAATATGCAGAGAAAAAAATCATCGAGAGAAGCAAAGTTTTCACATAAAGCAAGATCTCCCCATGAAGAACAGGCAACATAATAAGATGTCAGTAGCAGTACAATATTCTTCATGATATAATCAACTTTTTTGTTTCTTGTGTCCCAAGATCAGAGCTGAAGTAATTAATATCTACTCTGCCAGCATTAGACTTCAGAGTTAACCTTTAGGATTTAATAAGGACTGTTCACCCATTCAGACCTGCTTTTCAGGACAGTTGGAATTCAGGCAGACAGTACTGATGTGGCGTACATTTTATGCACTTTTTTAAAAATTACCCTAACAAAATTAAGAATTAGAGACTATTATTCAGCACAAAAACTGAACTTTGGCAGGCAAGACAGCAGAGTGATTTACAGAGCTGACTTGTATCGGGTCAGCTTTACTCTGTGACCTCTGTAAGTGAGTACTGGGGAAGAATCAAGGTGGAAAGCAGCTTGTAGTAGTTACTTTTGGAGCTCAACTTTTAAACTCCCAGCACCTTTGGAAACCACCATCAAAAGACAGCATTGGTTCACACGAATTGGGCGCACTGTGAGGCCCGAGTCAGAGCTATATACTACTCCTCACTAGAGTAGCAGTACTTCCCTCAACAAACCGGTCTGTTCTGAAGTTTCGTATATCAGCCTTTTAAAACTCATTTCATTCTTTCTGCCTTTAAACAAAAAAACATCAAATGTTGGACGCGAATCTGTTCAGAACACACTGAACAACTACAGCAGTAGGAAAACAGTTTCAGGCTTTCTTTCTCAAGGTAATTTGAATATACGTTACTGGGAAAAAAAACAAGTTTTCATGCTTTTTGCAACTTTTCTTTCAAAGGCCATCATATTTCCTTTGACCCATTTCTCCATCTACCATTTTGCAGCGGCTGTGCTTCACCTGCCAGTTTTCGTTTACTTTCTAAAACTAAACTGGAAGCTGTCTAATACCGTTATAATAAAAAGTTCAGAATCCTGGTGTTTATGCTGAAAGATGCACACACAACTGCTTTCTTAATGAATGCTTTCTTCCTGCTCTACAAGTGCAGCCAGCTGCTACGAGCTATAGACCAGTTTTCAGAAAGCTGAAATCTCCTGGATGTGTACCTCAGAGAGCCAAGAGCAAGACAAGCCCTGGGAGAAGTTGAGATGCAGGACATATAGGTATATACGTGTATATGCATACTTATATATCTATCTACATATGTATGGCTGGATCCCAGAATGACCTAGCAGGCAACTTCAACAGCCTACCGGCTAGCTCATTTCTTCCACAGTGAGGATCTGCATTAGCTAGCAGATCTCACTCTACCACAGCTGCTTCCAGACCCACATGCTGCTTGAAGACCTAACGTTGACCCAAAATGCTTAAATTGTGTCCCACAGTCCAGCAGATCTTCCCACCTGTGCAAACCTCCTAAGCTAGCTGGATTTCACCTGTATCAGCCATACGTATGGGAATGAAAAATGTCAAGACTTCAGTCTAACCTGGATACGGCCCTGCGCGACTTAATCCAACGTTGAAGTTGGGTCCTACTTCAAAGCTGGCCCTGCTTTGAGCAGAGGCTGACCAGATGACCGCCAGAGGTCCCTACCTCAATTACTCTATGATTCTATGTTCTAAATAAGTAACCAAAGTTTTCTTTCACGTAAGAAATCCTTATGTTATATACATTTTACTTAGGAACCCGTGCCTAAGCACTGACAGGGAGATGGGAGAGCATGGACACGGCATGCTGCACTCCAGAGTTCCCAGGCTGCTATAACCTTCCCATACAGGCTCTGAGAAGCAGATCTCTGAAACCACCTTCAATTATGCTCACTGGAAAGCAAGCATCTCAAGAGGCAAATACAAGTTTCCCACCCGTGCTTCCAACCTCCTTCTGACCTGCACCTAATGCTAACCAGGTAGAAGCACAAATTCGACACAATGCCTTCTTTTTTCTCTGCAAACACGCTCTGCTGGAAACATGCATACTACTTGCACATCCTGTAGAGCTCTAAATTAACTTTACCAGCTCAGGACAAAAGATCTGGAGAACACTGTAAGCAAACATCTGCTCAATATACATTCACTGTTAAAAAGTAAACAGTATGTTTGGCTCCATAAGGAACAGGTTGAAAATTATCAGAGTACAACACATCGTATAAACTGATGGCATGGCCTAGAATACTCTGTAGAGTAATGATCACACCAGCACAAAAACAGCTCTCGAGCATCAAGATGGTTTGAATGATGGGAGATAAGAATATAAACACAGAATAACATTCACGAAGAGAGACTGAGAAGACTGGGATACTATAAGAGTTTGACAAATGGTTATAAAGTAATGAATGGTATAGAAAAGATGGATGGGGAGCTTCTGCTTCCAGGCAATCAACTCCAGAACAAGAAGACCCTCAATGCAACGGAAGGTGCGGAAACCCTGAGCCGCTGGAGGAAACGCTTTTAATGCCGTCTGTGAACACGTGATGACCTGCTTTGCTATAGGGGGACGTGAAAGACAAGAACAGGGGTTTCCAAGGGCCTGAATGTCAAAGAGAGAACTATTACGTACAGCCTCACAATACTTAATACTAGAAGATTATGAAAGATGGTAAAACCTCCAAGTCTGGGGTTAAGACCAATCCCTAACTCTCAAAGACAAAGAGAAGACCTTCAATACCCTATTTCTACCTGTGCCAGCCATCTCCCAGACATCTGATGCTCACCGCTGTCAAAAACATGGTATTAAACACATGGCGTGCTGATCCACAGTGGCAGTTAGCATCCCTACGGAAAAACAAATTTCTCGTGGAGTGTTGCTGGGGAGTGGGTGAGGGTAAGGGCAGAGACATGGTCCCTGGCTCTTACATGGCCTGTACGAGAACTCTGAACGACTGCTGCTCCTCGCAGCAGGGCTGAGTGGCTGATGGGACATCTGGCATGAGGCTCCCCCACACCCTCACGTGTCCAGCGCCCCGTATCCGTGAGAATGCCTCCTGCTGCCTTCCTAGCCGTGCCTAAATATTAAAGCTGGACCAGGAGCGGTTTTCTCTTCTGTATGTTTCCCTGACATACCAAAGATACTGCTTTATCTCAAATCAGAGCAAAAAGAGAAGGAAAAAAGAAAAAAAAGAAAGTTTTGTTAGAACTGCCCTATGCAGCCAAATCCCGAGACTGGAAACAATTCAGATGTCTACGGTCTAACTGGGATCTTAATTTGATTTTACAGCAGTTTAATCCCTTTGAATTCAGCAGACTTCCTTCTACAGTGGCGCAAGAAAGAAAAAAATCACGCCATGTGCTTTTCATAGGCAGGTGAGCTTCTGTAGTGTGATGGAAATGAGAAGATGAATGTCAGAAAGTGGGCCAAATTCTTTTCTCCGTTAAACAAGCATGAGTGAGAGTAGGATTTTTCTGTAGGAACTGAAGCTGACAGCATGTCAACCAGCACTCATTCAGCTGGGAGGGCTGGGAGAGATTATTTAAAGTTGTCAGCTCCTTCCATGCCTGGCTTTTGGCAACTCTTCTTGTCCCTTTCCACTGTATACTCTTTATACATGCTGTATTAAATTAAGAAACTGAAGTGAGGGAACTGAAAGGTAAACTTAAAGAAAATAGTGCAGAAACAAATGCTTTGCCCTATTTATTTTTTTTTTTTATTTTAAATCTACTAGATCGGGAGCTTGCAAACACTGACAGGTCTGATGGTGTACTCCAACTGAAACCGATGCCCTGTCGTTGTTACTTGCTTCATTCTGGCACTTACTTCGGCAACCACTAACACCCAGAACCAGAGAGCAACGTTTGATTCCATAAAACTGGAACAGAACAAATAATTGACAACAAATGAGGTTTGCTTTCCACTCATCTCAATCTTCTGTTAATAACTGGTGGAAGGCAATGTCGAAATGCAAATGAGCCAGCCTTGGGTGCTGTGAGAATACGCAGGGTAAGTAATACATCATTTGGAAAGGTTTTCATAGGTGCTTACGTTATGGACGTTTTTAAAAGTCTGCCAGCATGAACCTGCTCCGTCGAGTTAAGCTCTTGCAGTTTAATGTCTTGGTCTGTGCGTTTCCACAGGGATATTCACCGTGTCCGGCTCCCTAACCTGACTGCCCCCCTGCCTTTCATCTCCCTTTTGCCCCTAACTTTGTCAACACAAGCACTGAGGACAACTGAAGGAATAAACTGCCTGTTTAATTAGACCGCTGTCTAATTATTACGGATGTCCTTAGTAATAAAAACCCAACAATATGTAAAAGGATAAGCCAAGGTACTGCTGATGATGATTACTTCCCAATCTATGAAGCAGAATCCCCAACCAGTGAAGAAAAGCCCTATTTGCTTTTAAAGCATTTTTTACTTTCAAGACTTCACAGCTACTTTACGAACTTCAGGCAGGGAGCACGTCAGGAAGGCTCCTGAAAGAAAAACAGCTAGTTAGTATGCACTACTGTGCTAGGGGTGCCTTTTCTACCCCACTATAGTATATGTAATATTATACCTATCTGAAAAAAAAATGAAAATACCGTGGAAGTGCTGCGTACCCTTCACGATTTCACTCTTTTCAGCTTCCTAAAAAGCAGCATCGTTCCAACTATAATTATATTAACAGCACACCTCTAAGTTAGCTTTTTTCTAGGAGGTTTTGCGGACAGTTTCATTGCGAAAGGACGGCTTGGCATATGTGGGCGTAGGTACAAAGGGACAACTCTAACAGTATTCTCCGAGCTGATCCAAAGCCTATTAAAGACAACAGGTGCTCACAGGTTCCGGATTAGGCTCTGCTTCACTCATTTTAAAACGATCCCCCATTCAGCTCAGTTGCTACCTGTTGCAGACAGTCGGCCCGAACGCTCAGAAGATGTGAGCTGGGGCTGCACCGTTAACAGCGCCCGTGTATGAGGGGTAGGATAAACACCTTCAGCTTCTGCCTGCAAATCTTCCCAAGGGATTTTTTTGATAAAAGAAAATTAGCGTTTTGCTTATGGGGCCCGTGCACACATTTTAAACCCGTACTATTTTGTATCAGTATTTGCTCTACCGTTGTTTCCCTTTTTAGTGCGCCTTGGCTCTGTTTAGGAGCTGGGGATCCACACGTAGAGAGAAGATCCACATGAGCGCAACTATTAGCTGAACTTGAAGCATTGGGAAGTGTCAAGGTAAACGTTTAAGGACTGGTTTCCCTTTGAAGCCACCATGTATAACTATACGATACTATTGACTCTAAGAAGAAATGCTGAACACTGGAAGTGTTCAGTCAGCATTTTAAACTATTATGAGCTACCTTCTGAACCATTGCCAAGTTAATAGACAATGAAAGATAATGAGCTTGAAATTGGGTGTTAAATTGCATTTTTGGTTCTCTCCTTTTTTCTTGAAGTTTAACTGTTTCCTGCAGAAACAACGTCCTCTTTGATGTACCATTATGTAAACGTCTATTTTTAGGTCACAAAAAAAGTCAGGCGTGGGCTAAACCCTCGCTCCTCCTGCTGCACGTGTGCGTGAAGGGGTAGAGAGGCAGACAGCGCAGAGCGAGACCCAACACTTTCTGGTCCCCAGAGGGAGGAAGGTGGAGCGATGAGGTTAGGTCTGCCGGCGGCACGAGCCTCCAAATTAAGGAGGAGATTACTCGACTTGCTCATTAACAGCGTGCCCGGACGGCGACAGCCAGGGAACGCTAAAAAGACCACATTTGTATTGCACAGGTAACACGAGGAGTATTTCTATGCGCTCCCCAAGCCTGTAAGGACTTTCAGCTGAATTCAGGTTTTTTACAACCTGAAACACCTTTGCCGTGCAGGGGTAATGCGTATCCAACCTGCCCACGGCATAGCCAGGACTGTAAGAGCCATAAATCGCTGTAGGTTTACGTATCAGCATGCAGAAAAGAGCAGTTATTTTTCTAAAAGCAGCATCGTGTAATAATAGCTCTTCACTGGAATAATACAAAATTCAGTGCTTCATCTACAGTCGCGTAATTAAAAAAAAAAAAAAAAATTGTGACTCCTAGCAGTATAAATACAGCTCTTAAAAATGTGAGAGTCGGTCTAGCATCGAACACTCGATCAAAACTTGAATGGAGGGTCTGCCACTGAAACTGTACTATCTCTGCATAAATAACTGCAAAGAATAGGACATGATAAATAACAGTAAATCATGCTTCTGATAAACTTTTTTTTGTGTTCGACATACCTTAAAAAGCAAAGAGTTAAAATAATCATAATTATCAAAATAATTCAAATAATTCCAAAAGGCAGAGAGATCTTACCTGATACCGGTCACCTGCATTTTTTGAGGACTGAAGATTAAATTAGGATAGGAAGGTAGGCTTATCCTCATTAGTATAATTGTAGGATCTTTCCTTTATTTTCCTTTTAAACTAATGAGTTGCATTAATCCAGGTTCATTTTTATAAGCCTCTTGGGTCCAAATGTAAAGGACAGTCATTTTAGAAAACAATAAATTAAAAAAAAGCATGTAGCATGCATTAAGTGCACGTATTTCATAAGACCTAGGTTAATACAACTGGCATCTAGTTTAATTAATCCTTGTTAGTGTAACGACTAATATCCCTCCCTAGCATGTTTCCTTTAAACATTAGTATGTTAATTAAATGTTGTTTTTTTTAAGGGGTTTTTTCCTTTGTACTTCAATATGGCATTTTATCATGTAAAACTATTCTGAACAACTACCTTATAGAGATGTTTCCTTACAATATCTGGTCTCTTGCAGAAATTCTGAAGCCTTTTAAAAAGCTGTTCAGGTGTAGAATACAGATATTCAGCTGCAGGAAAAACAGATACATTTTTAATGAAACAAAAACCTCAAAGCACACACTCGATATTAGTCACTTTACTAATTAAAAATGCATATTGCTCTGTGCCGCCTCGTGTTTTACATTATTTAAGCATGATTTTATAAGGTTACCTCAGCTCACAAGGATGTTTAATGCTAAATAAGACTGTGTAGTTGTGCTGTTTAGACATCTCCTTTGGGTGATTAAAATACATTATTCTAATGTAACACAATGCATATGTGATACATTTAGTGATGAGATTTTTCAAAGAACTGGTACTACATTAGTGTGTGTCCTGTACCGCAGTTGCATACTATTAAGTATTAAATTGTTTAAATAATTTGGTGTGATTTTCAGGCCTCGGGTTTTTTTTTCTGTGTATCAAAAAAATCTGCAAACCATTGCAGCATCACTGACCTTTCAACAAAAATCTATCATTACGGGTTGTGTATGCTAACAATGAAGAATGCTATTTCAAAACTTGCTTTTGTGTTATCTTAAAAGAACAGATGGCAAATATAAACTTCGTCTAATGTATTAAAACACATAAAATTTTCCTTAACACTAACATGTTGGCTTGCCAAATAAACAATTGCTTTTGCTCAAGTTTATTCTCAAACTTTATATTTTAGCATGAATCACGTTATTACGTTTCAGCAAAAAGAACGCGCAGCAAAGCAGCTACCTGGAAATATCTCTGGGTACACCAAGGCTTTGGGACACAGCGGGTAACAGCCGCAATGTACAGCTTCGACCCTGAAGATCAGAAATAATAAACACACAAAAATAGACGTTAGCGAGCCAGAAACTTCTTTTGGTGCAAGAGCACTGAGGTTGACTACATATAGCAGGAGTGAAACATTTTTTCCTTCGGCAGCATAATCCTTCTAAATGCCAAAGTTGCTCTTTTTAAAGAAAATTTTATTGATCATATGAATTACATAGAACAGAACAGCGAGCATATGTTTTGTTCGCTGAATAAATCAAAGCGCAGCTCTGCATTTTTTTGTTTTTTAAATACTGTTTAACACATTTTATAATCAGCAGACAGACACATGTAACAACATGGTGAAGTATGGACGGCTTTTCTTAATAATGCTGCAGAAAAACAAGGGCATACGTGCGCACGTTTGGATATACGTGCACGCATACACAGATGCACACCATCACCAGTACCTGGCAGAACAGATATTCTCCTTCGGCTTTAAGACTCCAAAGGTTACAGTTAAATATAGCCTAGGAACAACTTGCAGCATGCTTCGGGCTGCGATATTTTAGCTTATGCACACGCTTCAGATAATTTCCTTTATTTTTCGGGACATAAACTGTTGTATTTTTTAATAACTACTGCGGAGATTCCTTTGCCAAAGTGTGCGATGCTTTGTACTTGTGTCTTTTCAAGGAACAATTCACATCTCTCTTGTAACATCAAACCGAAATATTTTACAATTGCGACACGGTGGCGCAAAGTTTTCTAGTAGCGAAGCTAAAGAAAAGCTATCCTCTTCGCGTTTGCATTTTAATAACTGAACGGGTTAAGGCATCGAGTTTTCAGGTTGGGGGTTTTTTTTTGCATAATTACCATTGATCTGACATAACGTCCCTCCAAAGATACAACTGTAATTTCTGTTGGCCAGAAATTACACAGTGAAATTCAAAACACTTCTTAAAATATGTTTATTTTATGAGAGTCTTTGAATTTTCTCCAACATGTTGACCATACGAGAGCTTTATTTTTAACTTCAGTTTCCCTCAGTCCCCAGAAAAAAATATCTGAAGTCTTGTCAACGTTCACCTTTTCTATTTTCAGTGACAATCCAAAAGGCTGTCGCTACCTTCATGTGCATATCGGGTTTGGTACTTTATTACAGGCACCCAGAAGGAACTCTGTTTCCTTTAGAGCTACTCAGTTTTAAACAGGGAAAAAATATAAAATAAAGACTAACATATTCAGCTTTCATGCTGGAAAACTATGCATATCCACAAAACCCAAAGACACACATTTCTCTGCAAATGCTTTTGCTAAGCAATGATTGCTAGTTTTTTTCCCTAAACTTTTAAAATTTGTAATTTATGGTTTTTTTTTCAATAACATATGCACTTCAGATTGCATTTTAAACATTAACAACAATTTCAAAGTGTACATCGTCTAGCACTATATTTTTTACCAAAGGGAAATGTTTCTGATGTGTGATTTAATTGATGATTTCAGTTCTTAAATATTGTGTCATATGTCAAAGCAAATAGATTTTTAAAGTTTTCTTTAATCTAGGAGAAAAAAAAAAAAGAGTGAAACTGTGGACATTTCAGTAATAGCTCAGATCACTAAGTTATGTTAAAATATTTGCTTTTTAATCGTATCGTCTGCATGGAAAAAAAAAAAAAAAAGAACAGCTCCCTAAAACAAAACTGCAGGCCAAGATGCAATCTGAGTCATCATTTGAGTATGCAATTTCCCCTTATGAAAAACCTCTATCAGGATCATGAATTAGTAAAATCCGAATTTAATGCCTCTGTAGTTTGCCGGATAAAAGTTAAAATTTGGAATTCTTTCATTTGCAAATGATCTTATTTGCATACTCATTTTCTACCTTTCCGCACCACCGTTTACATGCATTTTCTGACAGGTCCTCACTACCGTGCTGTAAGCCGTGTTATAGCCCGTACACCTCCCAGGTGCCAAGACCTAGGGATCAAACCAGACTGGGCAGAGCATCCCCAGCCCGCAGACACGGGCTTTAGTCGGCAGACGGAGAGGGAAGCTTTGCAACCTCCACGCGTTTCTGTCCTTTTCCAGAAAAGTATAATATCATAACAATAGTACAATTATTCTTCATTTCAATCCTTAAGCACTACTAGTTAAATAATAAATAGAGTTCCGATTGATCTATTGTTAAAATGGCTAGTAAATGACCTTTTTATTCCAATTAACAAATCATCTGCTAAATCTATGAATCTTAATATTCAGATCTATTCACTTCAATTCATACAATTTATCTGCAAATAGTTGTTGGGCTTTTGATTCTAAATATAATTAGCTGATAATTTTGCTTGGCTGAATTACTTTTCTGGAGGGCCTGCTAAGGCTCTCAGTCGCATTATCTAGCAATAATGAATCTGATAGGTGAAATTTTTTACTGTAATGAGGATGAGACACAGTTGTGACACCTGAGTCTAGTAATAACAGAAGACTGCTAATTATCGACAGCACTTTTTTGTGTGATGCACAGAGAAAAAAAAATCCCTCATTATTAAAAAATAAAAAGTTACAATTATAAGTGACACCGGAGGAGAGTAAATAAAATGGAGTGATTAAAACACTGCTGCTTTAAGGGTGTTTTTAATTAAGTGGAAATGCTAATGTTGTCATACTTAGCAGATGGGATTAAAATTAGTTATTGTAAGTAACTCATATTTTATGTTATGGTTTCCACAGCATGTCTACAAGATCTAAGAAAGTGATACATTCCATAAGACATTTAAAAAATGAAATTCTCATAGTCTTTACAGCTCATAATAATGAACATCATGAAAAAAACTAT